AATTTTTATTATTCCATTTTGTAACATAAAGGATGTTGAAAGCAAAAGTTTGTGCAAGTTTTAGATAAATTGATGAATAATATATACATAGAAATCTTCGTTTAAAACCCTATGTCAAAATATATATTTGATTTTATTTTGTATATATTTAAATTTAACTAATAAAGTTATTTAGCATAATCTTTAATTTAACTTTAAAAAAACTAGCTAGTATTATAAAAAAAATCAGTTTTTCAAGTTTGCTTTTTATTAAAAATAAAATAATTTTATGGTCAGAAGAATAGACCATCGAAGGACGTGTTATATTGTTAATTAAACTTTCTATTGACTGTAACGATTACTTTACTGATTATTCAGGGTTTTTTAGTTTGCAAACGATGTTAATGTCTGCATAAAATCAGTTTAGTTTTTTATTATATATCTGTAAAGACCGAAAAAATTGCAAGCCCTTTTAATATATTTGTTACAAGAAAATTGTAAACTTACAAGGGTATACAATAGTATTTACTTAAATGATAAATAACATAAACTATAAAAAGTATAATTAAAATTTAATAAAAATTAAAATGTTTTATTTATTTTCGACTACTTTATTTAGCGATTAGTTTCCTAATTTTTATTTAAAATTGCGATGTTAATACATTTTCAAATGCTGGTATACTTTTATTAATTTTGTTTTATATGATTTAATATATGTTAGTGATATTATGTTTAAGAGTTTTTAATTTTGTTATTTGTTTAGCATTTATTTTACTCTACTTTCAAAACACTTTAAGTCTAAGTAAAATTTTAAAATTAGCTTTTTTAATTAAGCCATGTAGGTCATTTTTTAATCTGTATTGTGTTTTCTTATTTTAAAATATTTATTTGTTATTTTAGAATACTGTAGAAATAAAATTAGAATAAAATAAAAACTAGAAGAGACTGATCACATCTTAATCATATTGTTCTTCTAATATCGCTTCACTGGATATATTTTACTTATAAAGTTAGCGAATTTTGAAATTATATTTTTAATGCTTATGCACTTTGAAAGAAACTACTTTTAATGAAACTTTAAGCAAGTAGCATGCAAGCTATTAATTGAGTTGTTAATGATATATTCTCAGTATAGTACTGCCTGTTCATGAAGTGAATAATAGTAAGAGCGAATGGGAATACCAGCTGTTAAATCGTCCATTGAAATTATTAGCTTCGCAATGACGAAAAAGATAATTCTTTTATAAAAAAAAGATGGATTATTGATAGTTGTCTTATTTAAGAACTGCTAAAGTGCATGAAGGGACTGCTGAGATGCATTTGATGCATTCAAAAGTATCCCAAAACACAAATTTAAAAAAAATACTGAATAAATAAAGTTTTCAGAATGATTTAAAATTTGTTTAAGTTATTAAAGCAGTTTTTAAGATTAAAAATCTACAATTTTTTAAGCATGAATTAATACATTTTAAAACTTCACGACTAGAATCTTTGCGGATTCACTCAGAACAGAAATAGGAATTTTAACCAAACTAGATTGTGAAAATGCCACAAATCAATTTTTTTATTGTATCTCGATTTATTTATGAATCTGATTATCTTTTTTCACAAAAAAAGTCTTTTTTATTTTTGAATATTATTATTAGCTTTAATTCTGATAATTTTCAGGGCATTTTTTACTTAGCAACTAATTTATAATAAGTTGTAGGTATTCAGCGATAAATCCAGGATTTTTTGGTGATTGAGATAGCTAACTTCCAGACAGGACCAAACTCCAAACATAAGTATGTTTATTTGCACAGCCTCATTATTTGACATCAGTATAAACATACTACTAATTGGAGTTTGCTCTATGTATGAAAGTTAGCTATCTCAATCACCAAAAGATCCTGGATCTGTCACTGGGTATATTGGAGTAACTATATCGGAACCAAGATTCTAAGATTTTCTTTTAGGGTTTTTAATTCTTTTTACATTTTAAATTTGTTTCAATACTGAAGATTTTACCTATATTTTTGATTTACTATTATTTTTCATTTTTCTACGAAAAAAAATGTATTTTTAATTTTAAAATCGTTTAATAAATTTAATTTAATTAAAAAAAAGTTTTAAAAAAGTTTTATTTTTAAGCAAATAATATAATTTTTTTCTATGTGGGAAGGGAGAAGTTTTTAGCTCTCTTTAATTAAACTAAAGCATTAAAATTTTCAAACAAATTCACTGAATTGAATTAGTTTTTTGTTAACTAGTTTTTAGAAAACAAAGGGCTTATTTAATTTTAAAAAAGTGTATAAATGGCCACCCCAAATAAGCACATTTTTTGCATAACCCCAAAAATAAAAATTTTTCTGCGTGTTTTTATAATGAAATTTAAGAATTAAATTATAGTTTCGTTAAAATATAAATTACATGCTATGTCTTCTTATACGACAGGTTGCAGTGAATCTATTGGTTTGCAAGAATTAAAATCCATTTTGAATCAGCGCTATAGTAATTTTTTAAACTTAACTTGTTTTTTAGTTTGTCCCCGAAAATGCACATTTTTTTACTGGTCCCCGAAAATACATATTTTTTTGCATATTATTATAATAAAATTGAAAAAAAAACTACAACATTTGTAAAAATATAAATTATATGCTATGTCTTGTCATGTCACAGAGCGCAGTGAACCTATTGGTTTACATGAATTAAAATCAATTTTATATCGGTCTTATAGTAATTTTTAGACTAAACTTGTTTTTTAGCTGGTCCGCAAAAATGCACATTTTTTTACTGCTACCCGAAAATGCAGTAGCGTAACGAAAGGTCCGCAGCCGCGGAGAGGCCCAGAGATATTAGGGAACCAAGGCAACAAAGACAAAATTAAAAAAAAAAAGTGTCAGTACAATAAATAACATGCATATCATTTAACATACATACAAAACATATATTTTACACTTTGTACACTGTTATGTAGTTAATAATCTTGACAAGTTCTTTGAATAGTGAGCAACTTTTTATTTTATTATATCTACGAGTATAAAAATAAACTACTATTATTTTTTAAATAAAATACAATTTTCAAGTCGCATTATGAAGTCGTTACAATTTAACGCAAAATACGTTAATTAAGCTACTTAAATAATTAGGCGACTTAAAAAAAAACAATAATTTACTCGCTTTTTAAAAATTGCAATAGTTTCCCAAGCAGTGGCGGATTATTTATTAGGCTGAGTAGGCTGAAGCCTAGGGGCCCGTCAGCCATAGGGGTCCGGTTCGGAAGATGATTGCAATTTTTTTTTACAGCAAATATCGATATAGGTATGTATCATGGATAAATGAATGTATCAGAACCAAATGTTATTTTTAAACTAAAAAATCAATTTTGTAGCCCAGTTATGCTGCCCAAATGTTTGTTGATTACTTTGTCTTAGTCAAAATTTTGCTTTATCAGAACCAAATGTTATTTTTAAACTAAAAAATCAATTTTGTAGCCCAGTTATGCTGAGAATGGTATTCTTGAACAAATTGACACTACTGACAGCATACATAATTGTAGATATTATTGGGATGCTTTATGCATATCCTTAATATAAATTAAGAACAATAATAGACCTAGGATTGAATCCTGAGGAACTCCACACGTATAATCGAAGGCTCCTGACTGTTCTAGTAATACAAATTGCTTTCTGTTAGACAAATGGCTTTGAACCCACTTAAATGTTGAGCCTATTATACCGTAATATTTTAGTTATACCGTTATATATATATATATATATAAATATACATATAATAATGCAGTATCTGCATTGTATATTTTTCGATTTCAGGTCATAATGGAATATCATCACAAGTCTGGGTATCAAAAAAGCTAAAGACCGTGAAGATAAAAAGAAACGTGAGAAAGCGGTCATTTTAATAACTGTTAAAATAACTGAGCTTTTTTCCTACGATTAGTGTCAATGTCAATAGAGAAGACCCACCATCGAATTCACCTTTACCATGTGTTGGTCAGTGTGGTTTGCCTGGTCAATTTGGTCATGAATTTGAACGTGATAACAGTGCTGCAGCTGTATGCATTCAATCTATCTCTCACTCTGAATCTGATGATATGGTTGACGCGGAGACACTTTCTCAGAAACCAGAAGCACAAGCTGGTTCCAAAGGTGATGACAGTTCCTTTTCCACTGACATTGGGCAATGGTCTGAAGTGGAAATCAATGATACATTCTGTAACTTTTGGGTAACTCGTGGAAGTGAATGTTGTCAACATTCAAATGCTGACTTCACTAGTTCAATGCAAATTGATGGAAAACAGAAGCGCTACTGCTCACAGAATCTCTTTTATCGTGTTCATTCTCGCAATGGTGAGAAAGTCCCAAAGTCATGGTTGTGTTATTCACCAGCAACATCTCGCGTTTACTGCTTTGTATGTAAATTATTTTCTGCTGAAGATAATTCATTCTCAAGGAATGGTTTTTTGTGATTGGAAAAATGCAGATTCACGAATACAGTCACATGAAAACAGCATTGCACATAGAAATGCAACAATCACATTCAGCCAAAGAGTACAAGTCAGAGGATTTGTAGATTCAGCAATAGTTGAGCAATACAGACAGGAATGTGCATATGCAAAATCTGTGCTAGAAAGAGTTGTCTCAGTTATCAAATTCCTTGCTGAAAGAGGACTCGCATTTAGAGGACATACTGAAATATTGGGGTCAAGTTCTAATGGCAAATTTTTTGGGAATTTTGGAGTTGATTGCTCAGTTTGATCCATTCCTCTCCAGTCATATTGACAACCATGGGTGGTAAGGGGAAAGGCTCTGTTTCATACCTGTCATCAACAATTTGTAATGAGTTAATTGTTGTCATGGGAAAGCAAGTTATGAAAACAATATTGTCTGAAATACGTGGAGCAAAATTTTATTCGATTTCTGTTGGACTCTACTACAGACATATCTCATGTTGATAGGCTGTCATGTGTCTTTTCGATATGTTTTGAACGATGGCCCTATAGAAAAGTTTGTTCAATTTTAAGC